GACAAAAAGAAAGAAATGGCAGGAAAAGACAATACATTAACATAACAGCACAATGTAAAATTTAGCTTAGAACTGTTTGCTTTACTCAAATTCGTTCCTGGGCAGCAGCAAGATTTGCCTCTTTTCCCTCTTATGAAAATAGAAACTCCCTTGGGGGAGAGTAGGAGTGAGCCAGCCAGTAACCCCCCAAAATCTGGGAAGGCTACAAACCATTTCCTAAGCCTACACAAGTACACAGATGGCCTGATGAAAAGAACTTCCTTTGCCTTAACATTTTTTTTTGGAAGCCAACTATTGTTACAATTTAAACTATGAGATACAGATACCCAAAAAAAAAAAGATATTTAAAATAAGAACAAATGTGAATACACAACCTAAACTTAAAAACGAAGACCTATTTCCTAAGAAATATTCATAGCATTTGTCAGATAAGCACAGAAATTAGGAACAAGGGATTTTCCACTGTTAGCCCAGGGAATGGGGGATGGAAGGTGAAAAAGGACCTACTGTTTTTGACCAGACAAAACTCATGGATTGTTTCCTTTTGCCTTTAGTGTTTCTCCCCTAACCACTTTTGCCATAAGTACATCCCCCCTCCTCTTCTGAGCTAAAGAACGTAGCCACCATGACCTTATAGATTAGACTCAAAACAGAGCTGGCAATCTAGTCTTTAACTGAAAACCACTTCAGCCATAAGCATTTCTCCTTTTTCTTTAATCCCTATAACTTCCTCTTCTCTAGCTTCACCTTCCAAGTAAGAGTATGCCAAAACAAAACAACAACAACAAAAAAAGATGAGGAAAAGAGAATCTATCTATAGACTACAAATATGGAAAATAATTATGAATTTGAAAATGAATCAAATTCTCTTCCAACGGTCTCTACCACATGACAGTATTCAGGAACTCACAGTAGCCAAAATAAATTTTATGGAATTCCAAAAAGGATTCTAGTTGAGTAGGCAAAAAAAAAAAAAAAATATATATATATATATATATAAAATATATATATATATTTTTTAGGTGATGATATCCATGAGTACTTAAGCAGAACCCTCATATGCAGGCTAGTTAAAAGAGAGGTGCTCCCACTGACATGAGATCAGGGTCCCCAGAACACAAGTTAGGCACTGTAACCCTTCACCTTCGCTAGTGCCTCCTAAATTCTCCCTTCTCATCAAGAGCATCGTGGACCGTGTAAGCGCTATCCTAAGGGCACTGTAAGCTGTGTTGGGCAACTACTGATCCAGCATAATGGTTGTTAACTGCTGGCAATTCTGCCCTTCAAGGGTTATTTGGCAACGTCTGGAGACATTTCTCATTGTCACAAGTCAGGGGTACTGTTGGCAGCTAGTGGGTAGTGGCTACCAGTGTTGATAAACATCTTATAATGCACAGGACAACATGCCACATCAAAGAATTATCTGACCCAAAATGTCAATAATGCCAAAGCAGGAAAGTCCTGATCTAGCAGAAATCTCCGTCTAAACATTCCAGGGAGATGGCTTTCTAAGTTTCTGGACTGGTCTCATTGTTAGAAATGTCTTTATCATATTGAATCAAAATATATTTCTCTAAAACTTTTTACTATTAGTCTTATTTCTACACCTTGGGATCCCAAAGGAAAAATATCTAATCCTTCACCTACATGACAGATTTTCAAAAGCTGAGACTACTGTGATATCCTCCAAATTTTTCATTTTTGGGTTGAAAAACCACGTTGATGTGCTATCCCTGCTTCTCAAAAAACAAAACAAAACAAAAACATAATTGCAGAAGTGAAGGCAAAAATCCAAATTAAAAGGAAACATTCTGAGATTATTAAAAATAACAATAGTGTAGTTACCAAATACTGACCACCACCAGAGATACCCTCCCAGGCACAGAACCCATGAGTGACAGAGTGGGGCTGAATTCTCAAGTTCATGTTCTTTGTGTGAATTTTACATCACATATAACTGTTCTCCTTTTCCTAACTCTGGCTCCTACTTCTGGTTACTCTTCCATTTGGTCTGTCCCCTTTCCCCACTTCTCTCTCCCTTCTAAACATTCCAGTTTAGAATGTTTGGGCCTGCAGGCAGCCACAGGCCTATCACAGCACTTGCCCCAATCACTGGCTTGGGAATCAGGTCAGGCCACCAGCAGCCCTTATGTCCTACACACTGCTCTTTTCTGAATTTCTCCTTTGCCCTGTGAAAGGATCCTAGGACAACCGAAAGAGAGTAGATCTAAAAGCCTCTTCTTGGCACGTACCATAAGAGAAAAATTCTTGGATTTTCTGTTTTGAGGAGCATAAACATTTTCAGTGAACAATGTATACTAAAAAGTAACTATCTTCTCTGTTTTTACTGAAGCTCGGGGGTGATGAGAACATGGCGGTCCATTATACCACTCTACTTTTGTGTATGTTGGGAAATATTTTTGTAAAAAAAAAACAAAAACCCTCTCTTCTCTATATTTATCATTCAGCAACCACCTTCCTTTCTTATCCCATATTCTCTATTTAGTGCTATGGTGAAGAAACTTTTCAAAATAAAGTCTCAAGTCTCACACCTTAAATATATACAACTTTTTCATTTTTCAATTACACCTCACTAAAGCTGGAAAAAAAAACAAAGTCGCACACAAAGAAAGATTAACTTCAGAAGTAAATGTGATATGACCCCAAGAGTAGACCAAACTCTTTAAACTACTTAAATAAAGACAAACGTACTTGCACACTTTCTCCCCATTCCATTCTTCTCCTTCTTTTTAATGTTACCAACTTCATGTTTATGGGATATATGCAATCAGAGAAATGGAAATGTGTCTTAAACTACCAGAACTAAACATCGTGCTTCTGACTGTAGTGGGTACAATTGTGTGAGAATGTCTTCATGATTCAGCTGAAGCGTCATACAGGAAGGTTTGTTTGTCACATTTACTCGCCAAGGGTCCTAATGTCTCCTGGAACTAGGGCAATATTAAACCATGTTGTAGGGCATGCATATCCTAGAGCAGGGAAGGGCATGACATGCCTACTTGGCTCTGGTGATGGCTGGGTCCTGGACTCTGAGGTCCCGGCTTTCAATCCCACGAGGGCAACTAGGTTTTTACTATTCCTCATAACAACACATTTCCCCTCTCACGCTGGCCAGCCACCCACATGGCACCAGAAGAAAGGGTGTCTGGACTGTACCCCTCTATTATCAGGTCAAAGAAACAACGGTAAATTAATTTCTTCCCCAAGGAGGCCAGTGTTACCATCTTTCTTGATAAAATGGAATGTTGTCAATCATTTCACTAGATGCCAAACTACCTTTCTTTAATCATTAATAAATAAGTTTGCTACCGACAAACAGAATGCAAAATTTGAAGGAACTAAAGCAAAAATATATTTTTCCTTTAAAGAAATGCTGTTGAACAAATCAGGTCTGTTTTTTCTCTAACCCCCTGACACTTCCTTTCTGTTTCTTTTATCCCTTAAATATAGAATTTTTTGGCCTGTCTTCACGAGTACATGTTCTCAAGGGGCAAACTCACAATGAAAATAAAAATCATAATAATTGCTAGCATATATTTACATGTACCTCGCACCTTCCATGTTCCAGGCTTTGTTCTATATGCTTTACTTGTGGGAGTTCACTTAAACACACAACATACCTAGGAGTAGATACTGTTTTTATCACAATATTACTCTGAGGAAAGAAATGCACAGAAAGATAAAGTAATGAGGCCAAGGGTTCCAAGTTTTCAACCTAACACATCAAATCTGAAAATGGTTGCTATTCTTGGGGCACCTGGGTGGTGCCGTCAGTTAACCATCCAACTCTTAGTTTCAACTCCAGTTGTGATCTCAGGGTCGTGAGCTCGAGCCCCGCACTGGGCTCCATGCTCATCGCAGAGTCTGCCCCTCCCTGGCCTCTCTCAAATAAATAAATAAATCTCGAAAAGAAAAAAAAGTTGTTGCCATTCCCAGTATAGCCTCACCCCTACATCTCAGCACTTAAGCACCCAGTGATTTTTCTGTCCCCCCATCTGCTTGATTTTATTTGCATATCTTAAGCATATATTTAAACATGTGGGTCCTGTTCATACTTTTGCTAGAAATTGGAAAAAAAAACTCAAGTCTCCATCATCAATGGGAAATATTAAATAAATTACAGTATTATCCTACTGTGAAATATTAGGCTGTCATTAAAAAAGAATGAGGCAATTGCAAATAGAGTAACATGGAAAGCTGTCAATGACATATTGATGAGTAAAAAGAGCAAATTATAAAACAAATGATCCAGCAAATGAATGTCAAACATCTATATATGCCTAAGTATAGAGGAAAATGTCTGGAAGACTATATGCCAAATACTGGAGAAGAAAAAGGATTGAAAAGTGGGGGAAATGAGGAAAAGTGAATTGTTTACTTTTTGATAATATGCTCATGCTATACTTATAATGCAAAAAAGAATGTTAAATGATGTCTGATAGGCTAAAAATATTTGGTGAAACCATTACTTAGCCAGATCTTTCCCCCACCCAATATTTATTCCATTTTATTTTTTTCAACTTTATTTTCCTTTCCCTCCCTCACTCACAGTTTGGGCACCAATTACAATGGACTTTTTCTTTTCTAAACACTGCCTGGATTTTCTTATGCTTCCACCTCAACTCAGAGTACCCTCTTTGTCATTAAATTCAATCTTTCTAAAAAAACCATACATATTATATTTTGGTACATATTTCAAAAAAGGAAAAAGGTAAATATCCAGGAAATTTTCCATATTTTGAATCATCAATCTTTAATACATTTTAAATATATTGCTTCCTGAATTGTAAAGTGTCCAAAAATAATAGTTACAAAGTGTCTGAACAGATACTTCTTTGTATAAAAAATGGCTTTCTTTAACATTTAGGACATTGTGATTGCCTTGAATGATTTTTAGAATGAGGTAGAATACACGCACACGAAAGAAAAAGATGCATGTCACTCTAAGAAATTTTAAAAATCAAAAACAAGTTTCTTACCATTGTAAGGGTAAATGGATGGTTTTCTAATGCAGACACACTGGGACAATGTAGAATAATATACTAAAAGACAACAAACATAATTTTTAAATGACCAAGAAAGAAGTGTACGTATTCTAATGATGGCACGAATACTGATTTTTAAAAATTACATAAAGATAAAGGAAATTTGGGGCACCTAGGTGGCTCAGTCAGTGAAGCATCTGACTCTTGATTTCAGCTCAGGTCATGATCTCAGGCTTGTGAGATCAAGCTCTGTGTCCAGCTCTGCGCTGAGCATGGAGCCTGCTTAAGTCTCTCTCTCCCTCCCCCTCTGCCCTCCCCTCCCTTAAAAAATTAAAATAAATAAATACATACATAAATAAAAGTTGCTAAACACTGACTCACCTGGCCAGGTCTTGCTTTAAAATTTTCTTTGATCATTCGGATTTCCATGACATCTGAGGGATGACTTATGACTGAGATGATGGTTACTGGTTTATTGCTCCGGATACACCTGTAAAGTCTTTCAGCACAATACAGGCACAAAGGTCCAGAAATCCAAAGCCAAGTCTAATGGAGAATTTTTAAAATATACTTTAAGAAATACTTGTGTTGAAGGAGTCTTTATATCCTGCTCAATTGTTTATTTAATACATTACAGTAATGGCATTGTAATCTGTATTTTAAATAATAAAATGTAAAGAAAAATCTGTAAAAAATAAGGTGCTCACTGTGACTTATTCAAACAAGACTAAATATAAAACAAAAGAAGTAATGTACCACATTAACAGGTATGCATACTTTTTTTCATATTTCCTTCTGTGCATACAGAATAAATATATAATGTATGTATATACAATATCTTCATCTAAAAAGAGAAGAAAGGAAGTTAAATGCTCAATAAATCTGAAGACAACTTTAGAAAAAAATGCACCAGTCCAATGTTTGTTAAAAAAAAAAAGAAAATCCTGGATATATGTATGAATACTTTTTTTTTATTTTAAGGTATTAAAATGTTTTAATTTTTCAGGAGTAATTGGAATTCTTCAAAATGTCAGGTAAGGTTTTTTTTCCTACGTTTATTTATTTATTTATTTATTTATTTATTTTTTACTTGAGTGTAGTTGACACACGATGTTATATTAGTTTCAGGTGTAAAACTTAGTGATTTGACAAGTTTACACATTATCCTATGTTCACTGTAAGTATGGCTACCATCTGTCCCATTACATCAGTATTACAATATCATTGTTTTTCTTATGCTATGCCTTTTACTCAACCCTAGGTATTTTTAACGCACATAATATACGCATAATGTACACATACATAATGTATATACAATATAAAATATGTATATGAATGTATTTTAAAATATAGAGTATACTAAGCATGTTGCTTACAACTTACTTTTACATAATAAAAATAATATGAACAGAAAGTATTTATAGAATTTGGAAAGTGTAACGATTTTGCATGTGTGCTGGCTGGATAGCTCTGATCCCAGGATAACCCACTGCATACGCTCAGAAATACAGAAGCCTGTCCTGCCTGTGTGGCCAACCCTTTTCCTAGAACTGCACGCCATATTTCCCCCATCACTGGGAGGCCGTGGACCCAAACTTATTTTAATGGTTACTTTTTTAAACCTTATTTACATAGCTATTTCAGACCTTTTTCCTTCCATGCAGACAGATCATGCCTCTTCCTGATATTTAGTTGCATGCTGTGTGAGCAGTAGGTGAGCCCTGCAATGCAGCAGGCTTGCAACTTTGAGACAGTCACTTATCCTTTGAGCATCAAGTTCCATATAATTAAAACGGGACTCACAATACCTTCCCTGCCTAACAGCTAACATTGTGTGAAGCCAAGAAAACTCTGCAAATTGCAGTCTATGAGAAACCTAGAGGATTATTATTAAAAATAAACACAAGACTAACATACTCATTCCGAAGTCATCTAAAAATTCACTGTACTTTTTGACTCTTCTTTCTTCTCTTCTGAAAAGAGACATTTGGCTTCACTGTCCCATAGGCAAAGAGTGTTAATTCCCACATGGACAGCTCCCATACCCACATGGGAAGATTAGGGTTCTTATGGAACTACTTGCTGGGTATTTGGGTAAGAACTTTTCCAAGAGCAAGTATTTTAGTCAAAGACCTGGTTTTGGACTCTACCTTCTGCCTGTATTAGGTTGTAGAGTTTGCTCAAGGTCTTTTAAGTATTTAAGTCACAATTTCTTCATCAGAAAATCAAGGAAGATAGTAATTGCTTCAAAGGGCTATTGTGAATATTAAAAGAAATTATGCATACAGTACATTTTAGCACAGTACCTAGCAGATGATACCAAGCATTCAATAAATTGATTTTACAACTTATCATTTATGCATACATAATATCATACCACAATAATATGCTATACCATAATAATAATTACAATTAGTAATAGTACTTTCACTATTGCTTTTATTATTCAACCTACTTTTCTCAGTGGATAGGAAAATGTCTTTGTCACTTCTCTTTAGGCAAGCACCAGTGCCACAGTATGCAAAGATTTACATGGCCAGTTGAGCAGAATTTTCCATATTCTGTAATATCATAGGTCTTTCTCCTTGACATGACAGCTGCCTCTAATGGAAAAATAGGTGCTATCTTGCTGCTGAAACATCCTGAAATGTTCTACAATTGCTTTATAAACCTCCAGAAACATGTTTAAATGCAATGCTGGTCAATAATTATGGAAATACGGACTTGAGGAGACCATCAAAGATATAAAATTAATCTAACCTGTGGAAAATTAGCTTGAAACCTAGGCTCTTCCACACAAATGTTCACGGATCTGTTTTGGGTAAGTTCATCTGGTTTTGAAGGTCCTCCAGGGAAAGATTCATGAAAATGTTCCGAGCCATGGTCTGGTAAGTAAATATGCTGGTAGCGGGTTCCATTAGGATTGATGCAGCCAGGAGGGTGGGTATCTAAATTAGCTTGATACTTCAGCAGCCCTCTGAAATTAAAGTAAGGGAAAAAAAGGAAGATGAAAATGAAATTGAAATCAGAGGACATGGTGTAAGAAAACAGCCTCTTTTTCTTATTAACTTTCCATAGCATTTATCTGAAAAGTGCTTTTCATATATCTCACTTAGGAGCAATTGAGAAATCCTAAAACTTTTAATGAATTCTTCACTATGGGACTAAACCAAGAGCATTAGCCCTAAACAAATGCTACAAATACATGGTAGGGAAGAACACATCAATCTTTCCAATTATTCTTGCATTTCACAGCCTTTATTTCAACTCTATTAGGCATGCATATAATCATATACCAGTTTTCACTTCAATAAATACTATAATAATGAGTACTTTTGCTATATCTTCAAACACAAATGGGAAAGTATAGGAATCATATTTGATTTGCCTAAGACTGGATAAAATAGGCCTTGCTGATTTACAGAGATATTTTTAACAAACATAGTAACAGGAACTGGAAGCTTGCAACTCCTTTGGTCTGAAAATAGTTAATATACAGCAATTAGACCCTACACATGTTTAGTTTTCAATTTCTCCATAACCAAGACTGCATAAAAGACTCTAAGATAATTAATCAGACAGGAAAGCCTACAACCCTAAAATACCATTCTGATTGTTTCATATTTTGTGACCTTCTAAGATCACCATTCAACTTTCTGTGTTTTGTGTTGTTATTAATAAAAAGTTAAGTAAGATCTACCTCATTGGGATACTGCATCAAGTGACAGATTGTGCAGAACATCAAAAAAGATCCACACTGCATAAGCAAATCTTGAAGAAAAAATTAAGATTTTGAAAAGCATTGGAAATTTGACAGTGTGTTTTTTTATTTTAAAGATGTTAAAATTTTGGCACCCAAAATTATTTTTCCTGGTTAGCTAAGAATGTATTTTTATTTTATTTTATTTTTTAAAGATTTTATTTATTTATTTGACAGAGAGAGAGACAGTGAGAGAGGGAACACAAGCAGGGGGCGTGGGAGAGGGAGAAGCAGGCTCCCTGCTGAGCAGGGAGCCCGATTGGGGGCTCAATCCCAGGACCTTGGGATCATGACCTGAGCCGAAGGCAGACGCTTAACGACTGAGCCACCCAGGTGCCCCAAGAATGTATTTTAAATGACTCCTCAAGTTACCAAATAATTAACCTTAGTGTGTTACAAAAATGTATATTTTAAGTACATCACAGCTAAGATGATTTTATAAATGATTTTACAAATATGGTATTTTGCAACAACAAAACTTATAACATGAATAATAAGACTAAAGAGGCCCAATATATGAAAATTAGAAAAGCAGTGGCCAAGGCAGTCTTTGCTGGAATTTACCATCTACTCAACCTGATCATTCTCCTTTTGGTTATGTTCATTCCTTTTCTCTCCTTTTTAAAAATATTTTATTTAGTTATTTGAAAGAGCACACAAGCGGGGTGGAAGGGCAGATGACGAGGGAGAAGCAGGCTCCCCACTGAGCAGGGAGCCCAACGAGGGGCTCGACCCCAGAATCCCAGAATCATGACCCAAGCCAAAAGCAGATGCTTAACCAACTGAGCCACCCAGGTGCCCCTCTCTCTTCTTTCTATATTACTTTCTTCCTTATAACTAATCATAATGAGATTATATAGTATAACATTACTATGTGCTCATTAGAGAGACAGTATATGTTATAGTATACTGTATACACTAAGTAGCAGGCTGTATTATATAACATCAATGGCAGCCCACACACCCATTTTTTAAAGCAATGCAGTAGATATGGCCTAGGTACAGAATAAATTAGTGGTTATTATAGAAATGTGAGCCAAGTACAGAACCCTTCATAGAATTCTAGTCATATAATACAATCACTGTGGTATTATACTTGGAAAACTTATGAATTTGATTCACCTCCCATTATAAGTAAAGATTTACCCAAACCTGTTGCTCCTACTGACCATCCCAAGACTGACAGGTGGGTAGGCCAAAAATCTCAGGCATTTATTCTACTGGACTGAAATTGAACAAGATTTGGCATAATGCACTTGGCACTATTCTAGGTGATTCTACAAAGTTCGATAAGGAGTCAAATCTGGTCCCTGAACTTCAAATACTTAAAATCTAGTTGAGAAGACATCTTCAGAGAAGCTGAATGGAAGTCAGACCACAGATAATTGGGCTATAGTATTTTAATAAGACCTTAGCAATGTGTGGTAGACATCAGGCCCCAAACAGAGCAATTTATATATATTTCATGTTATATGCACAACAACTGCATGAAATAGGAATTATTATTCTCATTTTACAAGTTAAGAAACAATTTTAATAAGTTAAATAGCACCCCAGGGTCACACAGCTGATAAGTGGCAAGATTTGAACCCAGTTCTGACTCAAATTCTATGCCCTTCACCTGTCACTATACCTCATGTTAGTTCACTGGATCCTTACAACATACCTATGAAAAAGGTAAGGAGAGGAAAATTAATATTTAAGAAAGGATGTCAGGAATTTTTAAACATCTATTTCTCACTTAAACTTGAAAACAAAATAATCATACAGGGTAAGTGTTTTGATGCCCATTACACAGATGAGAGACTTAAGGCTTTGTTTAGGTAAGAGAGTAACTAAATTGTTGTCTAAGCACGGGATTCAGAAACCTCATCTTCCTCATTCCAAAAACCTATATCATATAAAGCAAATCAGTTGATTAAAGAAGTTGACATCAAGGAAAGAGGTTTAAAATAACAAAAGCCTGGAAATAAAGTCAGATAGTGCGCGTGCGTGTGTGTGTGTGTATCTGTGTGTGTGTTGGAAGGGGGTTGCTTAACATCAGGCAAAGGAATGTTATTTACTCCTCCTAAGTCTTAAGTGTACAGGTGGGCAGGACCGCATGTGCTAATGATCCTTAGAATGACAAACAAATGTTGTTACTATGCAGTACAAATCTTCAGGCCAGCTCAAACAAAGCATTGCTGTTCTTGGTATTTCAAGGGGTATGTAATATTCTAAAATCCCTTTTAGGGGTGCCTAATATATCTCAGTGATGTGGGCAACAAGGAAGATCAGCAATGTCCGGCATATAAACACAGAGCTGCATGTTCCTGAAAGCTCTGTTGCATTTGGAAAGAGTGCATTAAACTCTTAAGAAAGACATGTATATTATGTCTGCTGAAATAAATTAGATACTAGGGATTTAAAACAATCATAAAACAATAAAAATCATACATAAGATATAACTTAATTTTAACAAATGTGCTCACAGTAAAATAAATGGAATAAAGAGATGATATCTGATATTTACCTATCAATCCAAATATATCCATAATATCTAGGCTACATTTCTATTAAAAATTCTTCAGAATGAAATTATTTTAATGGGCACCAAATATAATGTTTAAAGAAATACTATATTCTAAGAATGCATATTCTAAAAGTTCCAAGAAATTCTGTACTAGTATGAAAGGAATGAGAACTATTTTTTATAGTACAGTGAAAACGTAAGTTATTGCATTTAACTGGACTTGAAAAATATCGTAAAATTATTGATTTGGCTAGAAGTATACTTCCTCCTTTTCTAAATCTATAACCAGATAGAGCTGTACATTTTTGTTCAATGCATACATTGGTCTTTAATTTCAGGATATTGTCCATAGGAAGAACAGAGGGGTAGGGGAAGGCCTAGTACAGGGGAAGGTCTCTGTACTTTGGTCTCTGACCCGGCCACGGGCTGACAGTGTGGTCTTGGGCAGATAACAGCTTTGAATGTTCTCACTTATTCTAAGATGGGGCCACTGATCTTTACCACACAAATTTGTTATAAAGTTTACAGAAACAGGCAGTAAGGCATGAAGCACCTTACTGGCATGCCCAATACTTATCCTTTCAACACAGAGTTCAAAATCTGCCAGTGTCCTTCCATGTGAACCCATCAGTATCTTTGCCACCTTATCTAGCCAGATCTAACTGAGATTCTGAGCTTGTTTTTGTTTTTCTTTAATGAGTGATATTTTTTATTTGTTATCATTTTCTGTCTATAGATCTTTTCTCTCATCCATGTTTCTTTGATGGCAACAATTACAAAATGAGACGAAAAAAAGAACATTTTAATGGAGTTTTAAGACAGGCAACCTATGCCATTTAGCTTGAGAGTAGCTTAAAATAACATACAGCTCTCAAATTAAAAGTTATTTTTCTTTTCAAGATTTATTTGTGGGGGAGGGGCAGGGAAGATGCAGAGAATCTCAAGCAGACACCTGGCTGAGCGCAAACATGTCTCACGCATTTATATAACCCCCCATATATCAATACTCACTGCCAAACCCTGTCAGCCTTCTAGCAAGTTTCTGGCACATACCTTCAGTGCACTTCCGGTGAATTGATTTTCAAAGCAAATAATCATCACATAAATTTTTTGCATATAGCAAGGGCATAGAAGTTAAAATAAAGAAAACATTCTTGTACCTACTGTTGTATCTTTCATAAATAAATGATAAATAATTGGAAAGGAAAACGATGTCCATGAATGGTAAACAAAGTCTTGCCAAGTTAAGATGGTGATATAACAGGGGTAGGGGAAGAAAGCACACAGACAATGTAGGAATGGGTTTGCTTATTACTCATTTTTTTAGTTGTATTATGTTCCAAAGGAGAGATTTTGAAATATCTTTGGAATGTTTAGTGTTCTTCTATCATGAGAAATCAAGGATTTTATGGTGTATCAAAATAAATGGTTGTGTGGGGCGCCTGGGTGGCTCAGATGGTTGAGCGTCTGCCTTCGGCTCAGGTCATGATCCCAGGGTCCTGGGATCGAGTCCCGCATCGGGCTCCCTGCTCCTTGGGAGCCTGCTTCTCCCTCTGCCTCTCTCTCTCTCTGTCTCTCATGAATAAATAAATAAAATCTTTAAAAAAAAAAATAAATAAATGGTTGTGGATGCTATTGTTTTGGTACTCATAAGGATTTCAAGATGTGCTTTCAAAACTCAACAGAGTCTCAAAAAATAGGTTTC